TTCATCCTTGGGCACACTACGCATCTCATAATCTGGTATGGGATATAATATTTCATCGTAGCTCTTCTTAAACGCCTCTACGGACATGAACCAGTCACAATACTGATATACCTCTCTTTTCATATAAATGATGACTGCACAAGCATGCACACAAGGAATACGAGTTACGTCCCAAGCACGGCAAGTGCATGTCCTCTTCCCCAAGTCAACGTGAGTGGTTCTCTGTGATTGCACTTCGAATATATCATCTCTAGATTGCTTAATCTCTAACGTAGATCCTCTTTCCATATGTTCTCCAACAATCTGCTCAGCTTTAGGATAAAGATAGCTTGTCCACTTTTCAGCCATTATGCGTCTGTTGTTCATGCGAGTCATAATTTGCTTGCGGATATGCTCCACCATTTGCAGGATACGCAGCATTCGAGCTTCACGTATCCAGCTGTTAAAGGATTCTGCAACGTTAGAGGTTACATGACCATATCTGCAAACATCAAAATAAAACAAAGTCTCATTCAGCATCCAATATATAATAAGATTAACACGCAACCACCAAACTTTCCCTTTAGTAGGAAAAGTTAACATAATAACATGAAAGTTAACATATAGTGATAAACGATAACATATATCACCGATAGTTAATCTGCAAAAGGGGATATTCACTAGAAATGATTGAGGGAAGTACCTAATGCCAGGGAAGAAGGCATTCGCCCAATGCTCTGGCGAGTAGTTATTTACAATCTCATATGTAGCTGGAGACATCTCATATATATCCTTCATGTAGCCGTTCCATTCCGCAACAGTGTATTTATAGCAAGCTGATTGGAGCAAATTCCCCAAAACATGTGTGTCCTTTGCTTTCATTCCCAAATCCTTTAGCTTAGATCTAAAATTTTCAACCAGGTGCAGAACACATCTTGAGTGAATTGCTTCAGGAAAACATTCTCTTACCGCTTCTTGGATTCCCTTGTCGGCATCAGAAATAATAACTAGTTGATGGGGAGGATTGTATGTGTCTGGCCTTTCGTACAGTATAGACCACAAGCCTTGCAGGAACCAGCTCCAATTATCAACGTTTTCCTGATCACATATGCAATACGCAAGTGGAAATATCCCTTGGTCTCCATCATATGCTACAGCGCTCAGGAGCAGGCCTTTGTATCTATCTTTCAAGAAGGTCCCATCCAAAAATAATAGAGGTCTACACCCATTTAAGAAACCAACGATGCAAGCAGCATAACATATAAACAGTCTTTTGAACCTTCCTTCATTCTGGTCAATGCAAATGTAGCTTCCTGGATTTGTTTCCTTCACCTTTTGCTCATACCTGTACAACAGTGTGACCACATTACACGTAAATGTAATACATTGGAACATAAGGGTAATGTATATTAACATGTAAGAGCTGACAATTTTCCATGAAACATAACAGTCCACTGTGACAGCTGAAATATAAATTTATGAAAATACTATAAATATGGAAACATCTAAGGAAATATATTGCACGATAAATTTATACATTTAAACAGATAACTATAAAATTTACCATCTTAATTGATCGTAAGACTCATAACTATCACCATACATAGCCTCCTGCGCTCTTTCTTTGCCCCACCATATCTTACTGTATTCAAGTCTCAATCCATATCGAATGAGAAACTCCTTTTGCACATCCTTTGGGTGGATTTCAGGTCGAACCTTTAAGACAGGTCGCAATTGTTCTGCTACAAATCTACGAGATGCCCGTGATTGCCCTGACAAGCTAGTATGTTGTCCGCAACTATGTTCATTCACAAACCTTTTGATTTTAATTCTTTTTTCATTTTTTACAGGGGATGCAAACAGCATCCAAGGGCAACCATACGTCTCCTTATATCGACAAATAACTCGGATACGTTTAGGTTCATTCTTTACAAAGTCGTAGTCAAACTTTTTTGCCATGGAATAGTATTGCAACGCTAGTCTTAAATCTATGGCAGTTTCAAATTGTTGGCCCTTTCCAGTTAATGCTGTGTGCCAACAGTCTGGAATGCTGTAAGTTTTACTGATAATATCATCAGCTCTCACTACGTTCTCACCAGACGGGCAATCAGTTGGGATTCTCTCTGAATTGGAAGCATTTCCGCCAGAAGGGGGATGACAATATTCTTCATTCAAAGAGGCATCACTGCTGCAAAAATTAATCAGCCAGTGATATAAACTTTACACTAGAGTATAAAACTATCTTATAATGTTTAAAACAAACCATTTTCGTATGAATTAACTAAAGAGCAGTGGAATTTAACAGACAATTTACATAGATAACTCGTTACGCTGAAAGTTAACATGTTCAATTGAAGATTAACATATATCGTCAAAACATAACATGAAACCAGCTGAGTTAACGTATAAATTTCGAAGATGACATCTATGTTTTTCTACTGCGCAGCGAAACCTGAAATCACAATTTTTACATCACACAATCCCAATTTCCCCACAGCTCATTGTTTACATATAAATCAGTAATAACTTTGTACTTCCTTTAAGAAGTAGGACACTCTATGTTATCAAAAACTTGCATCTGAATCTCCGTACAACAAGTGAAAATCCTTTAGATCAAACATGCACTTCATGATAGGAAGAATATAGCAATAACGTCACACGACACCGTGCACGTCGAGCAATTGGAAACCGTTAGGGGTTGTTGACAGTTATGATGATAATTAATTTGTTAACTTGAAGGGATTCAAAGCTCATAATGGGATTCCAAAAGATGAAGTTAAAAAACACTTAAAATGTTATGCGGCTTTGCCTTAAAGCCTGGAATCAGTATGTTCACGTCACACAAAGCTAAATGTTATAAAGAGTCATTAATTACTTGCATTCCACCAATAACTTTCTGGTTTATTTCAGAACTCGAACACTCTTTATTAACAGCACTATTAACAACAGCGAGCATGTGAATCTCTGTACAACCGACATTTCGATTGTACTCCAACATGCACTTCAAGTCATCTTCGTTGTCAACCGAAAAAGTCAAGTTGGGGTGCCTCTCGGATTTATATACCAAGGATAAAGCTTCTTCAGGTACTTTCATTCTTTCAGCCACATCAAATTTCAGTTCATAAAAACGTGTTGTCGAGCAGAGCTTCATAAATATGGCCTTCTCGCCTAAAGACACCATACAAATCAACTCATCGGGGGCCATTGGGAGTGGTTGAGAGTTATGAAGACAGTTATGAGGAGTAATGGAGGGGATTTAAAGCTCAGAACGGTTGTTGACAGATGAAGGGGAAAAACCCTGATTTCATAAATGGGAGAATGAGGCAAAAATTATCCGATTTTATATCCCATTAATAAGGAGCTGAAGCGGACCAGTAATGGAGGGAACCCGCCTTTTTTTCCCCCGCTTTCCGCCGTCTCTTCGCCTTAATTGCAATGGGAGAGATAGACGATCATCGATGGCTGCCTGTAGCCGGTTCCCAGTGAGAGACGAGGGCATTTCGGGTCTTTTTGCCTAAATACGCCAAGCATACGTATAAAAGAGGGCTAAAGGGGCTGGAGCACGCGAAAAACAGATTTTTGGGGCGGCAGCCCAAGGGGAATTAATTCGTGGGCTGGGCCACTTCCAGGACGCGATTTTGGGGCCTGGACACAATTTTCCCTAAAACATTTCCCATTAAGTTTAGTATAAAGTATAATATAATATAATGTAATGATAAACAATGATAAACCAAAAAGAAGAAATTACTGTCCGATTTAAAACCATAAAATGAGTTATGATACAACTGAAATGTCCCTTTCTCAGCCATTTTTCTTGAATAAATTATAAGAAAAATGACACCTGATGCACCTTGTATGATAGTTGGTCCAATAAATTTGAGGTAGAAAATATTTTTGGATCCACATAATTATTTTCTTTTTCTATTTTTTCTTTCTTTCTTTTTTTTTGGTTAAATATACTATTGATGAGTTTGGTCAGTTTAAACGTATGATTATTAAATTTGAATTCTCTGTCAACTGCCAGAAGTGTTGTAAACAAACAATTATAATTATAACTGTTATTTTTTTAGTTGATAGTTATGACCCATCTTGAGTGAAAGTTGGAAACGTAGTACGATTAAAAAGGTTAGGACAATCCATTGAAGAAAAGTGACAGCAATTAAAAAATAGTGTTATAATGTATGATAGGACCCAAATTTCTACTTTATCTATTAATGAAGGAAATTTTCTTATAAAAGCTTTAAATTTAATTAATTTTCATTCTCTCCACTATCAAACAGAAACGGAAGGACCAATACATTTGAAGGTAGCTGCTTATTTTCTGGTTGATCACTTGTGAATAGTATTAAGTGAAAATGAGAATCCGCGCAATACATGGTGATATGATGAAGGGCAATATTTAGTATAATTACAATCATTTAATAAATAATATATAGTTGTGAATGAAAGTAATTACAATTGATGTCAACAATTTTATACATAAATAATACATAACATTTATAATCCACTATGTATCAAGGTCTTACACTACTAAACAATGAGGCATCCTAGACGGAAAATTCTGTCTAGGGAAATTAGCATTCCGTCTAGGATGAGTATTCTAGACGAAATTTCGTCTACAATACGCGTCTAGGAAGTTTCCATCTATGATGTAGTATTCTAGATGGAAATTCCGTCTAGAATACATCCTATTATTCTAGACGGAATTCAAAACTGTCTAGAATACATCCTAGACGGATTATTCTAGACGGAATTTCTGTCTAGAATATTGTATCCTAGATGGAAAAAAATTTCGTCTAAGATGAGTATCCTAGACGAAAATTTCCGTCTAAGATGGTATACTAGACAGAATTTTGAGCATCCTAGACGGAATTTTCGTCTAGGATGCTATGCTACAGTTTTTTTTTTTTTTTTTTTTTTTTTTTTTTTTTTTTTTTTTTTTTTGCAGAATCTCACTTGGAACAAAGATGAAACACAAAGAAGACCTGTCACATTCAAAACATGAAGCACACGCAAGATCATAAGAAGAAATATCCCAATTCTGATGACTAAAATCAATTTTCTTGATGAACAAAGATTAGAATTCTGAATGTTCTAGAGTCACCTAACAGAAATTCTTAATGATAATCTGTACACAGATATTCTTAATGATAATCTGTACAAAGCTCTTAATGACAATCTGAATGTTCTCGATGGCTTGGACTAATGAAGGAAGCATGTCCTCTATGCATCACTATGCCATTCGCACAAAGTGCTCGTTGTTCCAGACAAAGAGAGCCCTTTCCGCTACATGAAATGGATGAATACTATGAGTTCTACTTATAATGAATTCTCAAGACATCACAGATCAAGCAATATCAGTAAATTGACAGTCATACAGACCCTATTGTAGCCTTCCCCGGTGAATGACGCACCATCACAATAGCGAACCTTAACTCTGTTCCAATTATAGAAGTCTGCAAGAATTATAAAACCAGTTACAATGAAAATAACTTCTAAAGGATTTTGCTTTGAAACTAGCTAAACAATTCAAAACATAATGAAGGGTTCAACATGAGTATACCAGGATTCTCTTCACGTTTGTCACTCATTATTCCAGTGAATGAAATCTCCTTCTCCATATAGTAGGATGAACCACGGTGTGATTTCTTTCAGTAAGTACATGTTCTTAGGTTATTGCACCAGCCTCCTCCCTATGACCTTATAACACGAGTTTCAAAACAGAAATATGTTTTTGGACTATTCTAATAACTTATATTTAATGTTATAATGTAATGTCTACAGACCTCTAAGTTAACGAGCCAATTATTTGCTCCTGACCCAAATCCATGATGAATGTGGTAACCAGGTGGGCTACCATCCATACATACTGCATCAAGAAATATTGATAAGATACAAGCAAAATTTCTAGTCCCAAATGCCTTAAAACATGAAATCAAATTAAAATTACCATGAAATCAGAACGCGAGAAAACAGTGAAAATTTTTCTAGGATATAAATGGATAGAAACAGGCTTTCTAAGGGCATCTCCAACCCAGCCCCATTTTGGTGCAAACAGTGCTTTTTGTTGTACTATTCATTCTCCAAACCAGCCCTATTTTCTGCTCCATTTTGGTGCAGATGAACAGTGCTGCACCAAATATGGCGTCGCATTGTTCATCCGCCCCATTTGTTCACTTTTTAAATTTTTTTTTAAATGTTTGTTTTTATCTCTCAATTAATATAAAAATAGATAAAAGGGAATAAACTGAGAATATACTGAGAATATTCTTTTTTGGTGTAAAAAATGGTGCAATGGGTTGGAGATGTATTACTGTTTGATGTGACTTTTGCACCATTTTGATGCAAAATTTGTACCATTTTGGTGCAATGGATTGGAGATGATCTAAGGCTTAAGTCACAGTAACATATGAATACAAACGAAAATAATACAGAAACTGGCTTCTCCAAAAGGAAAATTTTCCTGGGTTCCTCGTCTCTAATTAGCTGAGCAAAAAAGCTCCTAGGCTAAAATAACAATATGTCTGATCGAAATTTGAAGCAATTAATTACAATCAAACAAAATAAAACAGTAGATTTTTGTAAGAGAAACCAAAAATGAAGGTTAGGAGAATAATATCATCATGCCCAAAATGAGGAAGAAACAAAAGGAATTCCTCCATGTATTTCTCTTAAATTCCAACTTCCACTTTCAGTCCTCAAATTTCTGGTTTCATTTACTACAAAAGCAGAAATTAGGATCAATGATACCACAGCACTAAAATAAATAAACAATAATCGAGTCTCAAATTAGATAAATAACATAGGATTAGGGGGGGAATACACAAAGCACAGGACATAGGATATAAATGATAAAATAAAAATATACATTAGATTATCACTTCAAATACTTTCTAATATAGCCCTTTTTTCTAGTATTCAGCAGATACAGAAAGGAATCATCTAATCAACAAATAAGAAAAATATTTAACCTGTCGTATAGCTGCTTCAATTTTTTTTCTGTGCTTTGACATCAAAAGGATCTGCATACATCCAAAAATCGCAGAGGAGAGACCAGAGGGGGTGGCCGAAGATCGCCGGAGCGTTACGCTCGACGAAGAAGTGGCTGTACCAGGCAAGGCCATAGCCTGTGAAGGGGACGAAAGGGAGGAGCCAGAGGTTGAAGAAGAGGGAGAGGAGGCCGAGGATGGTTCCGATGAAGTGGAGGTTTCTTATTACGATATTGGGCGAAATTTTGGGTTGAGAGGGGGAATTTTAATTTTGGGGGAGAAATTTTGGAGAAGAAGCGGGAGAGGGAGGGTGAGGGTTTGGGGGAGGCGAGGCTGCGGGGAGGGTAGGGCACACGGGTTAGGGAGCGCAAGGGCATTAAGTTTAGTGGGTATGCGGGTCGGGTTCAGGTAAGGTTACGGGTCAACCATTTTTCTTTTTAAATGAAAAAAGTATCCTAGATGGAATTTTCTATCTAGGATGTATCCTAGACGAAAATTTTCGTCTGGGATGTATCCTAAACGAAAATTTCTATCTTTGATACTCTTTTTATTTAAAAAATATATTTTTAATAAATCTGTCTAGAATATATTATTATAGACGGAATATTCTGTCTAGAATAATACATTCTAGACGGAATATTTCCGCATAGAATATTCCATCCTAGACGAAAAATTTTCCGTCTAGAATATTCCGTCTACGATTTGTAATATTCTACTAGTGTTATTAGACAATTATAGTTGAGAAAATAATCGCTTCATTGTCATAGTCGTACGAAAAATATTCAAATGCATTGGTCTCACTAATATATCTATTAGTTTTTTCTTTTAAAAATTAAACTCTCACTATTGCATTATGAACCTACTGGTTCTTCCCAAGAAAACAAACGGTAAGTTTCATAAAACTCCCACTAAACCTCTAATAACTTCTAAAATCGCACTAAACCTCCCGTAATTATTGGAGATACAAAAAACCCCCAACAAGTTTCTCCATTTTGCAGATAAGCCTCATAGCAGACTTTAGTCCCCACTTTGCATTGTTGACAAGTTTAGATTCTAAATGTGAACTGATGCAGTCATGGATATTATCTATAAAATGTGGAAACTTATAGTTGCACGTCGGCGTAAGCGTGCTCGCGAACCAAACACCCACACATGTCGACGAACAAGCAAGAAGAACAACCAATGAGTGTAATTCACAGAAGAACGACTCAAACCAATTACAAACACAGAGATTTACGTGGTTCAGCATATTGCCTATGTCCACGGCGAGAGGATAGAGAGTTTTTACTATATGGAGGAGGAAAACAATGGTTACAATTCTCAAATACTCAAAATAACCCTCACCAAAAGATCTCAACTCACCTCTCTGAAATCTCCCTCTCAAAGTGCTCAAAAGAACCTCTTTTTTTCTCTACAAATCTCTTCTAAAACATTCTATATATATAAAAAGCCTAAAATCAAAACAGACTAGGAATCCAACAATTCTAAAACCAAAATCAAAACAGACTAGAAGAATCTCAATAATAATAAAACCAAAACCAAAACCAAAACAGACTAGGAACCATGTTTGGCCCAATAACCTGTCATCCAACAATTCTCCACATCGGCGATGTGTTCCAAAAACTGAGCCGACACTAACAAGTGCATCAATGTGTCGTCTCTCCAAATCCGGCTACACGAATGTGGTTACCTATGTACCCCTCTCCCAATGGATCAAGTCACCTATAGTTCATCTAAGTAGCCTCGAAAGGCCTCAACAATCAGAAATCTACATTAAGTTTCTGCAATGATCGAACTTGTTGCTCAGGACCACCTTTGTGAGATTTTTTTCTAGATTGTCTCTTGTATGGACCTTCACGAGATCCACATCCCCATCTTCAACAACATCCCAGACGAAGTGATAACGAACGTCAATTTACTTTGTTCAAGCATGGAAAACCTGATTCTTTACCAAATAGATAGCACTCATGCTATCATAATGAAAAGTGATGGATCGCTGCGAAATACCAAGATCCTCCAAAAGTCCTTGAAACTAAATCGCCTCCTTAACAACCTTTTTAATCTCTATATACTCTGCCACTATCGTTGACAAAGACACTATAGACTACAAGGTACATCTCCAACACACCAGCGCATGAGTCAAAGTAAACACATATCCCTTCGTCGATCAGCGCTTATCCAAATCTCCAGTATAGTCCGAATCTATGTATCCAATACATAGTTGTCCACCACTAGTGTCCCGTTCAAATATCAAACCAATGTTAAGAGTACCTCGAATGTACCTCAAAATCAACCTCACGGCATCCCAATGACCCAGACCCGGGTCGTGTATGTATCATGAAAGCATGCTAACTGCCTGCAATAAATCCGTCCTCATACAAACTATGGAGTACATCAATCTTCCCTCTGTGCTCGCATATGGAGTCTTCGATATTAACTCTCTATCTTCAACTATCTTCGGTGAAAGATTAGCTGAAAGCTTCAAATGGTCTCCCAAATGTACATTGATTGATTTCGTCTCCATGCTCATATTAAAACACTGTAAAACATTCTTCAAATAAGCCACCTGTGTCAAACTAATTATACCATTATCTCTATCTTTGCCGATCTCCATCCGTAAAATGTGCTTCATTTCACCCAAATCCTTCATCTCAATCTCGCTCCAAAGCTGAATCTTTAATCTATCTATGGCGGATCTGAAAATAGAAGCAACCAACATGTCATAGACATAAAGCAATAAGTAAAGGTATGCACCTCCATGCAACTTGCGATAGTACACGTAATGATCAAACTGGCTCCTAATGTATGAATTGCTGATCATGAACCCATCAAATCATCTATACTATTGTCTCAGAGATTGCTTTAACCCGTATAACAATTTCTTCAATCTACACCAATTTCTCCTTTCCTACAGCTCGAAACCCCAATGACTGAGTCATAAATTTCTTCATTAAGATTACCATGAAGAAAAGCTATTTTCACATCCAAATGATCTAATTCTAAACCATACCACGCCACCAAAACTAGCAAGATCCGAATCGAAGAGTGCTTTACCATAGGAGAAAAGACTTCATTGTAGTCAATGCCTTCTTCCTGTGCATAATCCTTCGTAACTAATCTAGCATTAAACCTCATAGGTGTGCCTTGAATGCCCTCCTTCTTCGTATACACCTATTTACAACCAATAGCCTTTTACCCCTTTGGAAGCTCAACAAGCTCCCATGTGTCGTTCTTGTGAAGAGACTCCATCTCCTCCTACATAGCCTCCTGCCAAAAATCAGTCTCTGAACTCTGCTTTGCCTCTCTAAATGTAGTAGGAACTATCTCATCGACACTCTTCCACCGAAAGTTCATATGCAATGACTGTGTTCGTATACCTTATTGGTAACCGTATGTCTCTCCTCGGTCTTCGAACTATAATCAAATCCTAAAACTGAGCTGACGGTCCCTGATCCGGCTCTGTCGTACCTATATCCTCCAAATCATCACCATGCTCGCCTGGCATCACCTCAGTCGGCACTCTAATGGAAATAGTCCCATCTGGACTTTATGGACCTACATCAATCTTCACCACCTGCAATATCTCCTCTGTCAGGATGCTCTCCACCTGATAAGAGCTGGTAGGCTTCAAGAGCGAAGCCTCATCGAATATAACATCTCTACTCAGCACAATCTTTTTCTCAACTGGATCCAAAGCTTGTATCCAATCACACCATGCTTAAATCCCACAAATATGACCTTCCTAGCTCGAGGTTCTAATTTATCAGTTCTAACATGATAAAATATAGGGCACCCAAATACCTTGAGCTGATCATAGTCATCTGCTAGCTTTCTCGACCATATCTCCATAGAAGTTTTCCCCTCAATCACAGATGAAGGCAGCCTACTAATGAGGTGGCTCAATATAAAAGTGCATCAGTCCAAAAGATCTTCTCCAAACTACTCTGGGATAATAAACATTGGACCTTATCCAGTAAAGACCAATTAAATATCTCTGTCACCCTATTCTGCTGCGGTGTATGACTAACTGTAAAGTGCCTCTCTATGCCCTCGTCTCAACATAGCTGCTGAAAGGGTCTGAAGTTTACTCGTCACCATTGTCGGATCTCAACGTCTTAATCTATCTTCTTATCTGCAATTCCAATCTTCTCTTTCACTCCATAAATATCTCTAGAACTTCACTCTTCTTCACTATGATGTACTCCCAACAATGCCTAGAATAGTTATCCACAAACGTGATGAACCAATATCGACCACTAAGTGATGTTGTCTTGGTAGGACTCCAAACATCCATGTGCACATAGTCCAAGATGTCTGTTGTCTTATGAATGGTTATCTCGAACTTTAGTTTAGTCTTCTTATCAAGACACAGTGTTCACAGAATTCGTCTTCTTATCAAGAAAACAGTGTTCACAGAATTCAATCTTTCCACTTTTAGCTCCCTTCAATAGCTCCTGCTTGCACATCGCCTGTAATAAATTTTTACTTGTGTGCTCCAATCTGTAGAGCCAAAGTCTGTTCATGTCCGCCTCTAAAATTGCTAAAGATACCTTGTCAATCTCGATGCTTACCTTAAGATAATATAGATTCCTACTGTGGACTCCCTTCATCACTACTAAAGATCCCTTAGTAACTTTTGCTACAGTGCTCTCAAAACTCACCTTGAATCCCTTTGTCTCTAAAGCTCCAATGGAAATAAGATTCTTCTTCAGCTGAGGAATAAATCTTACTTCATTCATCTGAGGAACAACTCCGTCATGCATTCGAATCCTAACGATACCTATCCTGCAAATGCAACAGGATTAATCGTTTCCCATGATCAACACATCCCCATCCAGCTTCTCGAAAGATACAAACCAATCTCTTTGGGGAGTCACATCATAAGTAGCATCAGAATCCAGTATCCAATCTGATGCATCAGCATGGTTAATCTCTTCTTGCTATTCTCCTTCTCTCTGAGC